ACTTTAAGAACCCCGTTTGGCCAACACCCCCGTGAGAGAGCCATGTCTGAGGACAGGTGCACTGGCCTGGAACTTTCAGAGTGGCTGGAGAGTGAATTTGTCACTGCCCCCTTCTTCAAAGCAGGCAGATTTACATTTACGGTTGCCTTTCTGGGAACACTGGTGTGTGCTGCTGTTATCTAGGCAGAGACACTTTTACTATTTTCTTATGGGATTTATCACCACAGTGTTTATTTCCCAGCCAACGCTTAGTGTTATGTTTAGAATTATGCTCACTTGGCACTAAGAAATTCTCTCTGGAAAGGTTGTATTTCAGCAAGAAATGGACAAACTGGTCCAGAGCCCACCACTGCCCAGCATGGAAGTTCCAAGACCCTTTAAGTTAAACTTATTTCTGTTATTTGGAATCAGCTCTAATTTATGCTTTCATTTGAGTTTTCTCACTCAGTATCTGTGTCCTCTGCCTGTGCTTGAACATGTAGAACATGCAGGATGCATGATTCACAGAATGCTTACCACATGGTCATATGTAGCCTGCACAACTGCAGCCTTGCCAGGAAGAACACTTGGTGTCCTGAAGGAAAGATGGGATACACATGAGGTTGTTCTTTTCTGGTTCTTTCAGTTGCTGCTTTTGTCTACTTATGTTCTGTAGTCCAGGGTTGCTGAAAAGGGACTACTGGAACTAATGTGTAAATCTCAGGGATGAATGATCAATGTTAGTTTGTTTCTGAATAATAGCCCCTTTCTCTAGGAAGCATACCAGATTTACAGTATGTATGAGTTATGTATATACATGGTATGGTGTTGGGTCATTTCAGTGCCACATCTAAGAAGCAAAAATGTCCTTTCATAATTTTATTCTTTACCTTTTAAAGGCACTCTGGGTATAGAAGTTTAAAATACTTTCAAATGACATACTGGTGAACCACCATACCTGTGTGACAAAGGACTTCACAAAAAGCAACTGTATTATACCAAGATCCTTTGATCCTATTCAAAACATTAAGATCTAAGTTTAAACTGTTTCTAAGGTCTAGTAATTTCTGCTTTTATTTCCGTCTCAGAAAATGATTCTTATGCACCCCCCCCCCAGCACCAGCTGGAACACGGTTTATTGTTACTGCTTCTAGGGAAGGTAAATCCCTTTCATGTTCAGTGTGGACAGTTGCTGATTGCATCAGGAGACCACCTCCTCACGTGGAGGACAGCAAATGCACTGGCTTTTATTTAGCTGCTAATGAGAAATTGCTCCATGGATGGGCTGCAAATGTGGCAGTCACAGCAAGGCTATTGTAAGCACTCTTATTCTTTAGGTCTTACGATGATGCCATCAAGTTGGGCCAAGAAGAGGCTGGTTGCCTGATTGATGCTTTGTGAGTGGATTTATCACTGAGATCTGATCATATCTGAGACCCAGAAGAGAATGAATACACTTGCATAGCTGGATACCATTATTAAAAATGTATTCTGGATAATTCACTTATCTTTTCTTTTGTAGTAAATTGACTTGGGAAACCACAGTAAGTCCTAAAATGTTGCTTGGTGCATATAGAATCTGAATAATGAAATTATGTAAGCAATACAATTTCATTTCAGAAATATTTTAAAAAGTTTGAAATGCAAGAAGGAGGGAAAAAGAGAGTGGAAGAAACCACTTAAGAGACACTAATTGTTACCATTTTATATACCCTACCATCCTTTCCCCATGTATCTTTATTGAGGCTTGCACGACCTAGAACTTGAGGATAATTCTGAAGCATGATCTTGTAAGAGCAATTATTTTCAGAACAGGAGCAAGAAACAGAAACATTTTCTCCCTATAATATTGACTCTTGCTGGATAAGTAGATGGTTGGGTGGGTGAGTGAATGAGTTGGAAACAGGATTTATTTAGGACCCCTGAAGGTAAGCTGGTGGGGTTCATCTGAGTTGGATAGCCTTTGGGGGAGGGCAGGATTTTGCTAGCATCTTGCTTTGCAAGATCCTCTTCCCTCTTAGTCTACAGCTCAGGGAACAGGCAGATGTGCTGTGTTTCCCTTCTCACTGGTCTCCCTGCAGCAGGAGCGGCCATGAAGCAACCCGGGGAATTACAGTTTTGTATCTTCTTTGAGTACAAGGATTGATTCATAGGTCAATACGCCATTTAGACAGAGTCAACCAGACTCCCCACTTCTCTGCCAAAGTTGTCATATAAACACTAGAAGAGGTAGCTCAGTGAGGAATATAGCTTCCAAGGGCAGCCTGGTGCCCCGTCAGTAGAGGGCTGAGAGCAGAGAGGTCTACAATGCAGACAGAGGTAAAGAAAGAACCAACTGTTGGCCTTGCTTGAATCACATATATCTACCTATGAATCTACTCAAGACATTCGCTATTTACTAGTTAACTTGGCATTTGCTTAAGTCAGTGCAATTTGGTTTGGATGAAATGCAACCAAGAGTCCTGGCCTGTTTGCTTACCCAGCTCCACCCCTCCCATCTCTCTTGGCCTCAGCAACTCCTGGCCCTTGGCCTGATCCATCCTCCTACTTTCTTTGCTTTTCTTCTTCCTTGAATCTTTCAGCTTCCAGATCTGCATTCTGTGGTGACAAAGGGTCAGCCTCTTCCTGGGAAAGGAGGAGCCCAACTCGCCCTTTTGGCAATTGCCACAAGGGTGGAACCTGTGAGCCCCCTCATTTCTGATGAGGTCAGATGGGTAAGGCAGGGGCCCATTTTGATTGATGTGTCTATAAAATGGAATTCTGGGACTGACCTCCACTCAACTCAAGCAACACAAAGATAATTGACCTTTGGAAACTGCCTTTGGCAGTCATTTTATTATTTTTATAGGAAAGTCCTGCAAACCAATTACATCTCACAATGGGCCTTTTATGGCGCTATTAGTTTAATGCAGCTTTCAGAGAAATTAGCCCTCAGGGAGCCTGAAATTCTAGGGGAAAAAAAGCCCTCCATGAACTTATTTGACTTTTGGGTTACTAAGAAAGATGGATTAGTAGTCCAGCATCCCCTGTGGTCACTTTTGGCATTTGAGTCTTCTGACCAAGACACCAAAATCCCATTTTGGACCCTTGGTGTCTGGACCAAGCAAAAGGAAAAAATAAATTCAGAAAAGAAAGAGCTGTCTCTTTAAAGAATTCAGTCTACAAATCAAAGAGGGTTTATTCCCTCTTTAGTCTGAGGCTGAAGACAAGTGGGAGTGAGAAAATTGAAATAGCACTTCCATTTGAAAGTTTGAGCTTTCTTGAATGTGCGATTACAGGTATCTGCCTGGGAACCTCAGCGTGGCCTCATCACCTCTCACCCTGGCTGGCTGCAATTATTTTCAGAGTAATGGCTCTGGGGCCTTAATCACGAGGTCAGGCTGTGGGTCTGGGTTGGAGTCATGGAAGTTACCATCTTAGCAGTCAACCAGGTGCATCTGTGAACTTAACTGGCTGTCCAGTTTGTAGCTCTGAGGGTGCTAATGCGTCGTCACCCCCACCTCTCCTGCACACCCCACCAGGGACTGTTTTCTCTGTCTCTTGCACTGTCGGTCGCAGGCACAGCCAGAGCTCTGTCTGCAGGCTCCCCAGTTCACCCACCTGTGTGTTGCCTCTGGCTGTGGGAAGGGTTTGGTTAACACAAGCACGCAGCAAAGCTGAGATGCTGGCTGCCATACATACACTAGGTTTGGTGACCGATGGAAAGGGAGTGATGGTTCCCATGCGTGATCCGTGCTCTCCCAGATTTAGCAGTGCCATGAAGTCCCAATTGCCCTGTGCTGCAGACTTCTTATCAATGTACCCTGTGTTTGCATCTCTCCATTCTTTGGCTCTGTTTTGCACCATCCTGCTGCAGCTTCTCAGAACACATCTCCCACCAATCTCCCACCAGAGCCTCAGGGCACCTCATCCAAGCTGGTCCTCTCATGTTTTATTTCCTGTGTTAGTTCTCAATCCCTTCTCCTCCATCTGAGAAACAAGGTGGCAAGTCTTATATTGTCATGAGCTCTTTGTTCTCCCATCCTCATCTTGAATTTATATGGCTTGTTGGGTTGTATCTTGGTTGTTTGTTGTTGTCTTTGTCTGTTTTGTCTTCTCAGTAACCTGACACACGCTATAGTCTTCTAAGAAGAGGGAATTTCAGTTAAGAAAATGCTCCTATTGGATTGGCTTGTAGGCAAGTAGAAGGGCCCAGCTTACAACAAATGGTACCACCTCTGGGCAGGTGGCTCTGGGTAGTATAAGAAAGCAGGCTGAGCAAGCTATATGGAGCAATCCAGTAAGAAGCATTCTTCCATGGTCTCTGCTTTGAGTTCCTGCCTTGGCTTCTTCTGATGGACTGTAACCTGTAAGCCAAATAAACCCATTTCTCCTTGAGTGACTTTAGTCATGGTCCTTATCACAGGAATAGAAAGCAAACTAAAAATATATTTAAAATGGGAAGGAGAAGGCAGGAGGAGGTTAGAGAGAGAGTTGGATACACTTCAGACTTAATGTGTTCTCATCTACAGGGGTAGATTGGAACTGGGCTGTCCACACTGGGGCTGTCTGCTTTTTTCTCTTTGGTACTTGGGATGCTTTATGGGAAGGTGGGGCTGGGCTCCCTCCTGCAGAAGCAGTGTCTCTCTGTGAAGCCCCGAGCTGTGGCCACAACTGCAGCTCATGTGGTGTGGTGCAAGTTGTTGAGTGTTCCTCTCCAGTTTAGCACCCTCATCTGAAACACGAGGCTTGCGATAGCACCGTTATGAGGAAGAAATAAAATATGATGGTGTGGTTATCAGAATGCCTTGCACAAAGTAAGGGCTTGATAAAGTCTAGTTATTATTAACGTGGCATGCACTGTCTGGCTTTGCTCATTATCTTTTGCTATTTCATCTCTCCATGGGCAGCAGGATAGCATCCCTCTTCCTCTCTAAATCTGTGGTTGCTACAAATAGTGTGTGAAGGGTCCATCTGCAGAGAGATCATGCAGGTTAACATCTTCGCTGTCTGATCCTTGAACTCCCCCCTGACCTTTCCAGCATATCCGCTTTTGTATGCTGTGCAATTTTAGGCGCAGGGAAGCCACGCTGTACCAGAGGGCAGGTAAGTTCTCCCCCACGCTGCCCAGCCACCTGAGGGTCAGGAGACCCGCGAAGAGGCACACCTAATTATGGCCAGGAATTCAGTCCCATCCCCACATCCCTGAGGGATTCAGACTCATTAAGATTAAGCTGTTTTGCTGGCAGCCTCCCTTTATCACACTAAAGCCCCAAGACAGTGCAGGGGCTGAGCCCCCAAGGAAGGCTGGAATAGCAGTGAGCAGATTCCATGCTCCAGGGATGTGAAAGTATTCAAGCTGAACAAGTCACTTAAACAACAGCACTATCTGCTGCTTCCCCTTCAGTGTTCCAGACAGATAAAGATAAAATAGCCAAGGTAATTGTGGAGATGGAGTGTCGTTGGAAAATGATCTGAGCACAAAGACCATTTCCAGAGACAGATGGAGTGGAGGCTTGGGTAATTTTTCTCGAATCATGTTTAAAGTGGCACAGGCTGAAAACCAATTCAGCAAGAGTGCTGCTCCGAGGGCCCAGGTCTAGCTGAACTTAGAAAATATTAAAGCTCAGAGGAGCTTACCAGTGACAAAGAGAGGGGCACTTGCCCGTCATAGTGGACATTCAAGTAGCTTGGTTGGCAGAGCCATCACCCCTTGAGGAATTCAGTGTACAGTGCCAGGGTATGTCCTGCTGGTGTGCAGTCTGTGGTGAGAAACTGCTCATCCCAGGGCTTAGGCCAGGAGTCCACAGTTTGGGTGGGCTCAGGCCAGTGAGCTACTGCGCCCATGTTACTTCTTAGAGCATGGACATCCTTCGCCCGCGTCATGCTACTTTCTCTGGCATATGTTGGTTTGCTCTGGGGCTCCCAGGCAATGGATTCCAGGAGCCTAGCACTTTGGAATCTGAATGAGCTGCCAGCATCCTCAGGCACAGTGCCAGGGAGAAAGCAGGTAGGGACTTCCCTCAGCTCTATGTCAACCTGCTAATGAAGGAAGTAATGGGCTCTGAAGGTAAAATGACAACATCTTACGGAACACTTTGCAGCTATTGAGAACCATGCTGTACACAAACCGACCTAATGACCACAGGAGGGTTCGTGCTACACAGCCAAGGGAAGAACAGACTACAGAACAGCCTGTGGGCTCTTCCAGAGCTTGCTGGCGATCACACACACGCTCACGCATCCATGCACAGGCACACAAACACACGCACAAGCACACAGGCATGCGTGCATGTGCACGTGCACGCTCACACATGTAGAGGAAGAATGACCAAAAGCTACATTATCCTCATTTGATCAGTCCTATGAGTGACATAAATGGCTATTCCCATCTTACAAATGAAGTTGGGGTTCACAGCAAATCAGGGACTTGGGTGGCTTGACTCTAACCTGGGGCTAGAACCCAAATCTTGTGCCCTGCCATTTAGTTTCTTTCTGCTGAGAATGAGGGATATAGAGGTAGACGAATCAGCAGATCTCCATGCTGTGCTCGAGGTCCTAACCTGTGTCCCTTTCCTCTAGGAACATGTTCCTGGTCACCCCACCAGAGACCAGCTTCCTTCTGTGCTTCCGTCACTGAGTTCATCCTTTCTGCATAGCCTAGTGGGTTAGCTACTGACTGTTTGCATCTGAACTTAAGCTGATGAGAAGGAAATGTGTTGTTATTGTTAATAAAAATGATTTTGGGCTAAATAATGTTATTTATTATTTGCCCTAAGATTATTGTGGTGGTATTATCTAACCTGCTATCACAATCAATAAAATACAGGCACCTGTTAGATTTTATGATTACCTTAAAGCCTTGGGCTGGGCAGATATTTCACCTACACTTTCTCAACCCAGCCCCCATCCAATGCCATCCATTTTAACCATCCTTATCTGGGCATAAAACCATCCATAATCTTGTGAATGCTTGCTTATATTTGGAGATTTTTTTTCCATCCACGTCATCCTTGGAGTCCTTACTCCCAGCCCACATGTTTTTTTTTCTCCATACTAATCTATCGTGGCATCATCCTCCTTCCTTTCTTCCCGTCTATCTGTTTCCCACGATTCTCTTGAAGCCAAAGCTTGGAAGCCTTAGCCACATCTACCCCATTCTGCCCTGCTCAAGTTTTTAGGCCTTTAATCAACCAATCAGGTATAATATCTTAGGCAGGTTTACACAACAAGGATAGGTTTATCCAGGTAGTAACCAGATCTTGAGGGCTAGTCATTAGCATCAAAATAGAAGCATCATACCAACTCCCAACAGAAATGAAAACAAAACAAAACAAAACAAAACAACATTTGGTTTCTTCACTTACCTTAGTCCACCAGTCCTGCAAGACTAAACCATGCTAGACAGAGTGGACAGAGGACACTTGTCTCATCACAGAATGGTCTGATAGGGCTAGATAGCTTATGGTCCTTTACCGCGGCACATTTACTGTTCAGTTATCATATTCATGTCTGTTCCTGCATTGGGCTACGGAGTACATGATGTCAAAGAGAGTCCAGTGACTTAGTGTGGCTTCCTAGGCCTCCGCACAGGGCCTGGCCTCTCCTACAAAGTCCTTTGCAAACCTACTTTCTTATCTCCAACCATCCTGTTACCCAGATTTTCTTTTTTAGTTCTTTGGCTATCCTATTGTATCTTGCTATTGAGCTTTTGCATCTGCCTACAACATCTTTACCACCAGGGCACACCTCTCCTCTTCCTTCTGGTCTAAGGGTCAGTCATTCTCCTTTCCTCTAGGCAGCTTTCTCTGGCTCCCCAAGGCTGGGCTAGATGTTCCTTATACGCTCTCATGGTATCTGGTTCTCTCCCACTCTTCGCTCAGCATGCTGTCACTCATAGCTAGATGGTTAGCCTTCTGCAGCAGAGCCTATAACGTTTTTTACTCACCATTCGATTTCCTTGTGCTAGATCAGTACCTGCATAAAGGAGTCAATGGGCCAAAGTATGTTTATTGGGGATGCGTCACACACCAGGAGCGTGATGGGCACTGAGTGTCCGTGAACAGACAAAGAGACAGTTCCTGCTTGTCACAGTCTTCAGAGCCCCATAAACACCACTTGGTGTTTACTTCAAGGGCAGAAGCTGTGTCTGGTAAGATGGAGGTGATAGTCTTCTTGGCCTAAAGCTTGGGAATTGGGGAAAGAGTGAACAGCACTGCTCTGAGTACACTAGTCAAGAATACAGCAATGAGGTGTGAGGGGAATTGGGAGCTGTCACTACCCAGAGAGACAGTCAAGGACAGAGTTTGAGGGACAAGTCTATCCTCACCACCCTGAGAAACACTGCTGGTATATTTTACATTCATTGCTCATCTAATAAATCTCAGGCCCTGCTCAGGCTAATTAATTCTCCTTCTTAACCTCTCTACAAAGGTGGTACAATGGTCATCTCAGCGTAACAGATGGAGTCTTACTTACAGAGAGGTAAAGCTTAAGGTCACTGAGCCAGTGAGTGGTGAGCCAGGATTGGCCCTTGTGCACCCTATTTTCTGTTATATGCTCTTAACCTCTGGGCTAAGGTCAGAGAATGCATGTCTCAGGAGGGTTGGGCAGGAAAAAAATGATGGAATCATGTAAGCGGGGCATGGGAGGAGGGATCCTGGAGATTCTTGCTGCCTCCAAGGCTCATGTCTGAGCTTTGTTAATTATTTAGATGTTAATACTATCCATGAAACCAAAGAGTGTTCCAGAGAAAAAACACAGTCTAGTGCTACATTTAGTGGTCCAATGTGATTATGATTCTAGACTTGGAGGTCAGGGCTGGGTATAACAACAAAGAGGACTTGAGGCAGAGTGTGTCCAAGGCCGGGAACCTCTTCCCAACACTGTTTTGGTTTGGATGCCAAAATGCAAAGTCACCTTTGTAGGATATTTCACTTGTTTATTATTTATTTTATGCAACTGGGAATTGGGCCTAAGACTTTGAGAACACAAACATGCCTCTGATCCTCTCTACCCTTGTTTTATTATTCCAAAAATTGAGAATTCACTAAAAGATTTTCATCAGATGAGATTTGCCCCCAATGGAATCAGACTCAAGATTTCCAGGTACCCTTGGCTACCTGGAGGATGACAGATGAGAAGGTATATCAGTTACCCCTGGCAAGTATTTATAAGATTATAGATAGAAGATAGGATGGTTAAGGAAAATAGCTTTGGATGCGAACTGGGAGGTGGATGGTGAGGTGATTCAGACAGCGTAGGTAAGAATATATGCTTACCTATGAGCCCAAGGTAAATAAGGCAATTATAAAATCTATCAGATGTGGTGATGGTGGGTTAGTTAACACCACCGTGATAATCTTAGGGCTAATAATAAACATTAGATAGCCCAACACCTTTTTTTTTTTAATATTTACTGCAGCAGCTGCTCATCTCCCAGTGCCTTGGAAACAGAGAGCATGACGGGAAGGGCCAGAGAAAAGATGCTCTTCATAAGCAGACTCCCAGTGACTCATTTCCTCCAACTAGGCCTAACCTCCTGAGTCTACACCACTTCCCTTCCAGCAAGCATCAATGACTCTACCAATGGATTAGTCCACTGATGAGAAGAAAACATTCTTGATCCCATCATAACTAATACCACCAGCTGGAGACAAACTACCCACACATGAGCCTTTTGTGGGGATACCTGATATCTATGTTATAACACAGGGGTCAAGTATAGACCTATTGCTGGTGACCAAGAAAAACTCTTTGAATACCACAGAAGAATTATTTGTTCACATTTGACCTAGGTTATAGACACCTAAGTTTAGAACCTTATAGTTATAGAACCTAAGTTTAGAAAGGGAGCTTGGTCATTGGTCTTTCCTTGTCAGGAGCAATGTGTCCTGAAAACTCTGGGTGAATGGAGCTCTAGCAAATTTTGTTGAAGACCAACGGCTTTATACTGGGCCGGGGAAAAGCCCCTTAGGCATCCCCAGATGTTATTCCTAGGCAAGCTAGTACCAGGAGGAGGTCTCATTGGGGGCCGTCCATGTGAGCACAAGCGACACTGCCATGCCATGCCAGGGTTGTTACACAGATGTGTGTGGATAGGTTGTAGAAGTGGGCACTCATCTGCCTTCAGTCTGACTTGGCACATTGAATTCTGTCCTCTGAATATAACAGCCATTGTCCTTTAATTAGAGTGGCTATGGCCACCCACAACAGCCTCTCAAGATTAGGACTGTGTTCACATAGAAGGCCATTAGACCTTCACCAGGGAGTGACTCCAGACACTCCTTCCTATACATTTCTGTCAGGGAGATATGTCTCCAACCTATATGTTTGTCAGGCTGCATTGGTTTCATGGCGTCAGGAGGTGTACAGGAATGGAGGACCCCATCTGTACATTGTGGGAAGCTCTCTATGCTGGACTAAAACTTTTGGTGGTACAGTGGCATTGGGGTCACCTAAGTGAGCCCAATAAATTC